TTTTGCAGGGATGTTCTTTATTTCGCTCATATTTGTTGATAGGAAAAACGTAATTTTCTAGTCTTCGCTCTATATTTTCATAAGATCAACTTAAAGCAAAATTGATTGATATCATCTTTTGAAGATAATTATCAATATGCTTTTTTTTTCTGTAGTCACAGACAATTGAAGCACTTCAAAATGAAGAACAAGAACTTAAACGTAATCAAGAATATCGTTTACACCAAATCGAAACAACATATGTAGCTGATTTACAACGTCGTACAGATATGTCTTTAAATGAACGACAACATCATGAAAATATAATAGAACGTCAATTAATTGAAAAAGAAAAAGAACAAAGAGATTTTGAAGCAAAATATGCTGATCTAAAAGAAAAATTTGAAAATGAACGACAACGTATTGGTATGAAGAAAACAAAAAGATATTTTAATAACAGAATATTTTTATTTTTATTTTTATATCATTTTCAGAAGAAGAAGATAGAGAAAATATTGGTCGTGAATTACAAAAAGAAGGAGATTTAATTCGTTTAGCACAAAAAATCATGGAAGATAATGAATCTCGTCTTAAAGCAACAATGGAAGCAAGTGAAAATGAAATACGTGATATAGCTGAATATTTTACTGGAAAAATTCGTGAAACAGAAAATGAATTAGTAGCTGTAAGTTAAAATTTGAAATTTATTGTTTTATTTTATGGATTTCTTAAAAAGAAAATTTATTTTATTCATTTAGTTACGTAAAAAAAGTCGTCTAGCAATTGATTCAAATGAAATTGAAAAGAAAAATCTTGAAGCTGATGTTGATGATGAACAATTAAAAATTAAACTTGAATTTGAAAATGAAAGAAGACGTCTTGTAAGTATAAATAATTTATTTATATTTTTTAATTTAATTTATTTTTATTTTAGATCGAAACTAATGCAAAATTACAAAAGGAATTCAAAGAAACACATGAATATCAAGTAAATTTCATTTATTATAATTTATCTATTTGGTTTAGATTTTATAGAAAATAATTTCTTGTTTATTACCTATTTCAATCAAGAAATCTTCTTAGAACATATCAAAAATAGTGTCGGAGAGATTTTAATGCCTTATAAAAATCTTTTCTCTTCGATGTGTATTGTTTTTTTTGTTTGGATACTCTCTTTGTTCTAATGTCTAGCCGTCTATGCATATTCGGATACAGCATCATATATTTGTTAGTTATTCGACTTAATCCAACAAAAACATATCAATCAAAATGATTTCCAAATCGTCGCATCATGCTATAAATTAGTTAGAGCATGACAGGAATGACCTTTCCATATTGAGAAATTTATATTTTTCTCAGCAGAGTTTTTGTCTTTTTTTGCTCACTGATTCTCCAGAAAGACCTTGATCCCGCTACCAAATTCGGTTGATTTTAACAGAATTCTTCCAATTGGTTCACCCCATTCTCACTAACCTGAGGGCATTTGAAAGAAACGTTTGGTAAATGGATTCAACGAACATTGTTGATGGAAAATAAATCAGGACGTCTATTTCGCAAATTTAATGGAATCAAAACTTGTTGAGTGTGTTTTTGTGTTTTTTTTTGTACCATCGTCACCAGTTTTTCTACACCCGCATATATATATAGATGGCTAGACATTAGAACAAGGAGAATATTAAGAAAAAATAAACATGGCAGGCCAAAGATAAACGATATCTTGCAAAAACAGGATTGTTTTACTATCAAACTATATAGAGAGAAAGTTTCTTTAAGCTTTTTTCAAGGAGTTAAAGTACTTTCGCTACTACTTTTAAAATGTCCTAAATAGATTTCATACTAAGTCTAATGTCGCGCTACAATTAAAGACGACTGGGTATAATCTAAATGGTTCGACAACGGTTAGCGACTTGAGGTTTTTAGTAATTCAAAGAGAAGAACTGCGAACATTTTTTGTTCAGATATTTTTTAAGATAAAATTATTTTTAAACTCATTATCTTCGCAAAACATTCCTAGCTGTAACGCTACTTGAACTAATATGGGGTATCTTTATCAGAAGCATGCGTCATAACCAAAACTATATGAAGACGAAACTTCATTTTCATGCATTTTTTGAGAAGATAAAAAGTTGTAAATTAATTATTAAATTAAATTACGTTCGAAGTTGTCCTGTTTGGACTTCTAAAAACTGCAAGTGGCTAACTAGTTTTGTTGTCGAGTTTTTAAGGTTACATCAATCTGTCCTTGATTCTAGTACGAACATCAGTTTTTATGTTATTAAGAATCAAAATAATGTTTGTTAATATTTCATCATAATATTTTCGATGTCTGAGCCTAAAAAAAGAAATTGATGTTTGTTTGTCAGCACCATCACATCATTATAAAAAAAAAGAATTTATAGACATATATTCCACAAAAAAATGTCAAATTGCATGATAGATTACTTAGCAATATACGTAGAATTAAATAGACTACTACATTACCATTTGACAAAGTGAATGAAACTATATGAATTCGGTGTTCATATGGTTTCTGTCTATAATTCTGAAGCTTTTTGAATGTAAACTTGAATAAATAGAATTTGTCTTGTTATGTACAGAAACTGAAGGACTTTTTATTGAAAAAATGATTTAAACAATATTTTTTAATAATCTATTCTAAAATTAAGGTTCATATTTTGAATCTTAAACAAGCTGAACAAGAAACAAGTGCTCAAACAGTTAAAAAACGTATTCAAGATAATGTTCTTCGTGTTCAAGGTATGTCAGAAGAAATATCTTCATTAAAAAATGAAATAAATGAACGAAAACAAACAATTAATGAAAAAGTAAATAGTTAATTATATTTTGATTAATTAATATTTTTATATATAAATTTTTAATTTAGCTTGATCGTATTAGTGATCTTGAATTAAAAAATCAAGAACTTGAAAAATTTCAATATGTACTTAATTATAAAATAGAAGAATTAACACGTTTAATACAACCACGTGAACAAGAAATTGAACGTATGCGAAATCAATTACTTGAGGTAAATTATATTTTCTAATTTGTGTGAATAAAACGAATTTACAATATAAATATATTCAATTAATTTATATTGTTAAATTCATTTGTCTCTCACAAATGAACGAAAACTGAATTTTATAAAACAAAAAAAAATAAAGCAGTTTTACGTTTCATTTATTGTTGTTTTGGTGTTATTTCTTTTTAGCTGTATAATCATTTGTATATATATTCTACAAACAAAAGATTAATAATAATATATTCATCTTAAGATGGCTAGTGAACGAGAAAAAAAAGAGACGGAATTAAGTCGAAATCGTTTTCATAATGTTGAACAAAAACGAACATTACATGCTGTTAATACACAAGTTGAATATGAACGTCAAAAGGTAAAAATAATAATAAACAAAAAGAAAAAAAAAGATTTTTTTCTCTATAGAGAAAAGAATATGATAATGCATTGCGACGTATAAAAAATGATATATTGGCACATTTTGCTGATGTTAGTGATCCAAAAAGTGTTAAAAATGCTGTTGCTCATTTATATGAAAAACATGTGCAAAATGATAATGTAAGTTTTATAGTTATTTTAGAATCCCGAAAGATGTGCAAGGCGATTTGAAGAGTGTTGTGTAGCAGTGAAATATAAGAATGATGGTGCAAAGATAAGTGTGCGCCTGTGTGTGTTGAGATGGATAGAATTCGGTTTATGTACAAACCTTCATCTTTTGTACCGTGTGCATCGTTCGTGTATCTATTGGTTTTCTATGAATAAAAACAATATTTCAATTAGGTAAAGAGTATATATACAACAGCTGATATAAGTGGTGCTGTATCTGAAGAAATACAAGCACAAGATCGTCAACGATTATTTCTTGAACGAACAACATCAGATTTAAAAAGAAAATTAAATAGTGATTTACATGCAACAAAAGCAAATCGAATGAGAATTATGAATGTAAGATAAAAATAAAAAAAAAACGAATAGAAAAGATTATTTTGCTTAAAATAATTTTGTTTTTTTTTCCTTAGGAAAATGCACTTTTACTTCAAGAATTGAATAATTTACGTCAAGAATTAAAAGTTGTTCGAGGTAGAATACAAGATTATGAAGTTGCAAAAAAAACCTTTGGTGAACGAAGTGTACATAGCATTGATGCTCTTGTACAAACACTCAATGCTGATGCAGGTTTCAATATTTATTTTTTATTATTAGATTAAAGAAGAAAAAACATTACTTTTTTCTTCAATGATAGGTAACTATGTTGTTCGTCATCGTGATAGTGAACTTATTAAAGAAGTGCAAAAAAATCAACAAGAAATTCTTCATCTTCGACAACATCTTTCACGAGTTCAAGCTGGTTATAGTCCATTATCAACAAATACAAATGTTAATGATGATACAGCGAACATTTCTATTCTTAAACTTGTTTGAAAAATCATCTTCTTCTTTTAAATTGAATAAAACAAAAAAAAAAAGAAGCTTTTATCGATTATTTGACTTAAGTGGCTGATTAAACAATCTTAAAGTATTACATTATATATAATTACTTGTTACTAATGACTTAGAAAAAAAACAGTAACTTATCAAAAAAAAGAAAAAGAAAAAGAAAGTAGAAGAGTAAAAAAAGAAGAAATGAGAACAGATGAGAAATCTTTTTCTTTTTTTTTTCTCTTCATTTCAATATGTCAGAAGGATAATATTGACACTGGAACAAAAATGACTTCCAAGACAATATAAAAATTGATGACAACAGGAATGTAAGAAGAGGTGAACATAGATGAAGTGTTTGTTGTTATTGTCAACACAAATATACAAAAAAAAATTCATATAGTTGACGTAACGGTTTTTTTTCCTCATATAAAAACATTCGACAATGAATCAATTCACGACAGTTATTTCATTTTTTTTTTACATTGTTCGACTTGCCTTCGGGATATAAGTGACAAAACAAAAAGGGTATATATACATATATATTTAGCAACATTTTCATCAAAGTTCATTTAAATTTCTTTCAATGGCGGTTGGTGATCATTTACCAATTATTGTACCATCATCAGCTAGTGTAAATTCATCTTCTATATCAAAATCTACATCACCATCATCATCACCAATAATAGAACGACGACGTTTTGCACCAGTAGCTACACATAATAGTTCAACGTTTATTCGATTTCCTACTAGTGCACGTCAATCAACATTATTTGTTCCTGTATATCAACCACAAGTACGTGTTTCATCCGTACAACCATGTTCATTAACGACAGATACTCAATCTATATCAAATAAATCGAAATCATCAAATACTCCGCCATCAAGTATTGGTAGTGATCAACATAAACATAATTATTCTCAACAAAGATCCAATCCTATATTAAACAATCCTTTATTAAATCATCGAAAAGAACAACCAAAATTATTTTCAAAAAAATTTTCAACTAACTTTTCACATACAACAAGAATTTGTTTATCATCAAAAACTAATTCAAATGATAATCAACTATCAACAAATCATACAAGTACAGCTCCTTTGTTAACTCATCAAATAGAAAATACTGCTGATACAATAATAACTGCAAATGATGATGAAAATTCTGATCAACAAGAAATCGAATATTTTTGTAAAACTAAATATGATTATATAACACGTTGGTTACATGATGTTCGACAAGCCACTTATTGTACAGAAACATTTCCTACAACAAAACGTTCAAAAAAACGATTCGTACAATCTTAATTTTTGTTTCTGTTTCTATTACATTTCTTTTTTGTATCATTTAAATTTTTTATTAATCTTTTCACACAAAATTGAAGAAATAAAACATACAAATAGTCACACATGCAAAAAAAAAGAAAAAGGAAAAAATCATTCAAAAGAAAAGAAATTAAAAGAAAAAAACACACTACATATATTTCATTGGAATGAATGCTTAACCTATATCGGGTAATGAATTTGTTTCGCCTTCACAAACATGTTCCCAAAGAATATCGGACCATTTAAGTAAAAGCATGGCACATGCAAGAAAACTTCGTCCACATATTAACTCGGTTATTATTGTCCATTGATCTGTTTCAATTGAATAACATTCAACACTTTCATGATATTTACCTGGTTGTTCATCTTGACCACCACATACATAGATTTTTTCATTAACAACAGCTGCACCTGGTCGATAACGATGTTCACGCATAGGTGCTATAAATTGCCATTGATTTATTGTTGGATCATAAACTTCAGCTAAATTTGTATTTTCTGTATTCGATTGTAATCCACCACAAACATAAATTTTACGTTTAAGTACAACAGCTGCTGAACCTGAACGTGCAATACGCATTGGAGCAACATCATTACTCCATTCTAATTTTCGTGGATCAAATCTCATGACTAGATCAACCGCATCGCCTTCTTCAAGTACGGCTCCACCTAAATAAATATAAATTAACATATAATATTTTTGTTTTTCATTTGATTTCTTTTGTACCGGTTATATACAAATATCCATTTAGAGAACAACAAGCTGGACTTGTCATACCAATTTGCATTGAAGCAATCTAAATAATTATTTAACTAAAATAAAATTTCGATTTTAAATACATACTAAAGTCCATTTATTATCATCAATTGAATATCTTTCAATAGTATTCAAACGAATTTCTCCATTTGTTCCACCACAAGCATATATATAACCATCAATTAATGCTAAACCTAATTCAGATCGTGGTGTTAACATATCTGACAATTGTATCCATGTATCAAGTTTTTGTTCATATTTCCACACTTCTGAACTTGGCCTTCCTATATCAATCAAAATTATTTTTCTTTTTTTTTTGAATTAAACTTTTCGAAAATCAAACAAAACTAAACATACCATTCGGATAATCACCACCACATAAATAAAGAGTTGAAGCTCCTAATAAAAATTTTAATGAATTACGAAATAAAATAAAACAAAAACAAAAGTAACCTGATGCAACAATAGCATGTTTTGATACAGCATATGGTAAACAACAAAGCTTTTTCCATTCATCTCTAATACAACAAAAAAACATAACAACGCTATAATTTTATTTCTATAGAAACAAGATTATTTTATTATAAAACAAATTTTTTCGTTGGCATGACATAATCGTCATTGCCATAATTGGTCTTCTTTTCTAATAAGTTATATTTATTAAACAGAGTATGATTAAATATGAAGATTTATTTTTCATTCTATAAACATTGCATACCTTTCTGGATTATATATTTCAACACCACGTACAACAACTCGTTCATCTTCTCCGCCCAAAAAAACTAATGTTTCAGTTAATTCTACAATGCCAAGAAAACATATTTTTTCAAAAATTATAAACATACTTCAATGAAATAAAAACATCTACCTGAGCATGTACGCGGTTTTAGCCGAGAATTTGTTGTTGACATTTCAGAACGCCTATCAACGAGTAAATGGAATTGTAATGCTTCATGAAGTAATTCACGACATATTACATCTTCTTGTACTGCTTTACAGCTTGCAACTCTATCCATTAATACATACTAAATAAAAATAAAGTAATCTCATCAATGAAATATGGGTGTATTAATGTTTTTCTTTATATTTCATACAGGACTAACAAATGCCAATCGAATATGTTGAAGTATCTGAAAAGAATAATATTTCTTTTTCTCATTAGTCATGTTATTTTTTTTCTGTTATAACTTTACCAAATGAAAGTCTGCTTTGCGTTGTTCAGATGCGTGATTTAGCCAACGTAAGCATGCTTCCAAGACGTCATCTTCACTTGATACTCGAAGATCATCTTCTTCTAAAAATTTGTTTTGTTTTTCAATTCAAATCAATGTTCATTTAATCAAAAAGGAAAAAAGAATGAAAATTGATGTAAAAGACTTATGACTATCGAAGGATGTTCAGTCTAATTTTTGAATGTGAATATTCAAAGATTGTCATAAGACGACAAGAGACAAATTACTCTTTAAATAATTTTCTTTCTAAAATACTAATGAGATATCGCTTCAACTACCAAGTGTACATATCCAATTTTAGGACACCATTCGATTTTATATGGTAGCTACGGGTAGGTCTCAGTGGGCTTAAAAAGATTCGGATCTATGATATAATGATAAGCACGATTGATAGTCTTGCAAGTTTCAAAAAAAGTAAACATGTCTATCTCGAGATATTCAGTATTCAAAAACATCAGCGGTTTACAATAGAACCATAATTGAGTCTATTTCAAAATTGATTGTATCGAAAATGACATGCTCGTTCTTGCTGAAACTATCAAACATCCCTATAGGCAAAATTTCAGATCGAAATTGTTTGTTTGAAATTTCTGAACTGTCAACCTATTGCAGAATACCATGAGAAAAATAGTAACAAAGAGTTTCGCCCTGAAATTATACCCAACAATAACTTTTATGGTATCTTGAAAGTTGCATGACAAACGGCTGTTCTTCTTCTAAGATAACACATCTGCAACAAACGTTGTTTTGACATAAGAACTCTAAAAATAGTTCAAATTTTAGGCACCTAATATCTTAAGAAGAAATTATTCGTTTTAGCTGAAACTTTTATAATACTATAAGTACTATAAGAGCTATCTTGTGGAAAATTTCAGGGCGAAATTCTTTGTTGCTGTTTTTTCCTCGTGGTATTCTACAATAGACTAAAAGTTCAGTAAAGTGAATGTAACTTGAGACGAAAGGGCTAACGACATGAGTCCTTTCAGAATTTATATGTTCCTTCATAAGAAGTGAAGAAATTGGTCGTAGAAAATTCGTGAAATTAAATGTCGTGATAGATAGTCTTAGTGAACAATACTATGATAGTTTTATAAATGGAATTAAAAATTTCGATAGTTTGTCATATTTTCGGTTGCTAAATAGAAAAGATAATATTACTAATTCTTTCATTTTTGTCTTGGTTTGTGTGTGATCTATGTTACAGTGTTCGTATTATGCCAAAAATATTAGTTGAAATTTTCAAAAATTTTTTCTTTCGACATTTTCTTTAGCACACTATTCACGATTTCTTGACAGTGTGAGCAAATGTTTGGGATCTCTGATTTAGTAGAACTAATCATGAAGTGTGTATTTTAAAAAACTTTATTTTATAACTTCGATCATTTAACCAACAAACATGACATTTCTTATGAATCTGAGTTATTGATAAAACTTCATGTTTGGATGCTGCTAGTTCGATGTACTTATCAATAATATCTTATATTATGTACTTAAAACTTTCATATTGGAACCAAATCATAAAAGTGATGATTATAAATTCTGAATCAATTACAAATATCTTTTTATCGATCTCTAACTATTCAATGTCATTAATTATCTTACTTATAAATTCTATAATTTTTTGTGTCGAAACATGAAGCCATTCATCTTGTTGAGCAACCTTGAAATAGATAAATAAACGAATAAAATTCTTTCATAAAAAAAACAAAATCAATTCATACAAACATACTTGTGAAAATTTCTTTAAAACAAATCGTTTTGCTTTTTTAGTTAATTCTTGTGTTCCATGCAATTCAGCAAAACAATTTATGCCAATTGCATTTGTTTCATCAAGAAAACGTTCAAAAAATGAACTACATGCATCACGAACAGGTTGCATCATGAGTAAATTAGCAGCAGAAAGTAATGATTGTACATTATTTTCACAGATCGTTATTTCCGCTATGAGCAAAAAAAACAAAATAAACAAATAGAACTTTTATTTTAATTTTTACAAGTATATGCATATTCAATAAGTTCAGACATAGCATCAGGATCAATGCCATTGAGAGTAACTGTTGGTTGTGATGCTTCAGACATTTCTGATGTAGTAAACATGGCACGAAAATATGGACTAGCTGCAGAAAGCACATTCTAAAATTATAAATTAGTATAAAGATTTATTTCTAAAACATTGTTAACAAATTCGAATAAATGATATGAAAATGATTTAATCTAATTCAAAATGACCATGCAGGATCCAAATTAAATATATTAGACTTTTTGATTGCAAAAAAAGTAAGCTGACTTAAAATTTTTATAAAGATTTTCTATATTTTTCACGAAATGACATGACTAATGTTTTATACAGCTGGAAATCGAGAAGACGACACTTCTTGAAAACTCGGGTTGATCTTCATAGAGCTTTTGATTCTTGTATCATGTACTAGCTGATTGTATTCAAAATAATAAATGTTCGTCCTTCCGGAGTTTTAAATTGCTTCTCCAGAGCAGAGCTGGGCAAGTACGAGTACTTTGCCTAGCTCTGCTCTGGAGGATAAAATCTGGATAAAAAACATTAGAAGTGACATTTTTATTAAGCATTTTGGAAGTCGACCTTGGTCGAAGTATACTCAAATCGTATAAAATTTTAAGAATGTACTGGGACTCTCATGGAGAAGCGATACAAAAATTTTTAGATTAATATCATGATGTTTTTGGTAGATATTGAACAAATAAAGCTCAAAAATAGTTCATTTGTCAACCTAAACTCACAATGGGCCCTCATTATACATATATTTATTTATATCATTTTTATTGCAAGAAGCATGTTAAACTGTAGTAGTTGACTGAGTCCTTGGTTTTTAGATTCTTAATTTTTATACGAAGCAAAAGAATGGCAAGCTAAATACCTGGAAGTACTATTAAAAAATCATTAACTATTCAAAAAAGTGCTTTTTTTTATATACGAATAAAAAATCTTAACTAAAAAGAACCGTGCTCTACTAAGAATTGCAGCCTGAAAAGCAAAAGAAAACGTAATTGACTACAATAAAGCTCCTTGAAGAATTATGGACTATGCAATCAAAAATACATCAGCACAAGAAAAAAAAGAAAGACGTTTTACTTTTTCTCGAAACGGGAATATGCTAAATTAAAAATCTTACTATTTGTGAAGAATCCGATCTCAATCTATCTTCCTATGCACTAATTTTCGTTTCAATAATTCTGAAAAAAGCAACACATATAATCTGTCTATTTCATCTCTGTCTATAAATCATAAAACATACCATAGAAGACTATTTCTTGAAGGGCAGACTGAGAAGTACATTAGATCATCTTAAAAGTCGATTTCTTATTTCTTATGGAGTATTCTTCCGTAATGAGAATTATTTTTTCATATGGTGGATAACGATCCGAAGTGGAGTTCTCTAATATGTCATACAAAGTCCTATTTTTTTATATCGGAAGTGTTGCCGAATAAAAAGCCAGCTAATGTATTTTACAGATTTACTCTTAATGCTCTATTCGGTCGTAGATATAAAAGACTTGCCAAGAGAATTTTCTTTCATGTATTTAACATTAAAAAAAAATAATTCTATTCATTATTAAGGTATTGCATGAACCTCGATTAAGGTATCTAGAAATCGGATAATAACTCTGAAAATAAACCAAACAAGTTCAATCTTAAAGATGTTTTAGTACAGAAACAAAGAAAATCATGATAGAAAACGATGCATAATTTTCACTTTTATCATACTTAAAAGGTTTTAGTACGGATGTACAAGCCTAAAATTCTTGAAGGATACTCCAAAAAATCTTTACTCACAATCATTTATCAAAATACTAAAAAAAAATGAAAGCATTTTATTATTGAGATATTTATTCAATATTATTAAACTACTGTATCAGTGTAAAATATAATTCATCATATATGCTGAATTCGATAGGATTTACTTACGCTGAATTTTAGTTTTTTATGGGTTATAAGATCATATACTGTCGTTATAATTACTTTTATTCCATTAAAAAAATATCTTGTTCAGTCAGAATGACAAAGATCCGACACACAGATCGATCCATTCTTTCTCATTCTGAATATGATATTTATTTTAATTGAGAAAATAATCATCAAATGATTGTTATAGACATGCTTAAAGTGTTTTAGACGCTCTATCAATTTATATATGATTAATTTAATTTATATTCACAATGAACTATATCTAGGTGTCTTGTGTTCCTTTGAGCTGATATTTTGCTCATAAATAGGCTTTGATGAACTATGAAAAGCTTTCAGAGCGTTTATTTCCATTAGTGTACTCTGACGAGCTTTGAATTGTTCGAGTATTTTCCATTTTGTCGATACTCTCACATACATGTAAAATATTCAAAGCAATTCAAAAGTTCACAACGAATACTCATGAGTAAAAGCTCAGCTCAAAAATGACGAAAGCATGTAGAAATTTCTCCTTGCCAGTAACAAAGGTATACATCAAGAGATGCGGTGGCGAATACAAGTTCAGAGTAGTTGTATTTTCAAGTTTTCTTCTCGATGGTAATAACTAGTAAGAATCTGAAAAAAGCATTTGTGTAGTTTAAAAGATTGTCAATTCAGATTGGTAGGTCCGAAGACTTCTGTAAAAATGCTTGGATAAGGGTCTTACAGAAAACCAAGATTGCTGAAACCAGCTCTCTGACTTCTATTCGAAATTTGAAAGAACACTTTATTTGATAGAGCAATATGAAACGTCTTCAATCTCTCTTCATCGAACCATATTCAATTTACAGAACGTCCGTAAAGCTTAAAGCATCATCAAAATATTGAAATTTTCAATAAAAAGAAGGGAAAAATACTTCTTAGATCTTCTATAAATTGAAGAAAAATCAGAAATGTCTAACTATGCTCAGAATTGTTTGCTTTATCAAATTAAATTTTTTTCCAAAAGCTTTGAAATGAAGATACAAAACTAGTTGTGAAAGTCTTCGTTTTATGCAAGTCTTTGAATTTATCAATTCCTCTAGAGAATATTCTTAGAATACTACAAGTATGACAAAACTAAAAATTACGTTTAATTTTCTATTCTTTATTTTTATGGTCTCTATACGAATAGATCATAAAAAATTCAAATATGTCGATTTCATTGAAATTCATTACTCAATCATTCCACAAGTTTTCTACAGCAATTAAAACAAAAAAAATGCTTGGTTTTTTTTTTCTTCTTTCTCTTACTTTATGGCAAGGATATTCATGTTGATCAACAATAATAGTTATATCACATAATTGTCTACTTAAACGAAGATCATTAAGAATTTCCAAAAGTGAATCTGAATGACTATGTTCATAATGTGCAAAAACAGCACCTGGATTATTTGAATTATTATTTATATCGGAAGCTGGTGTAATAGGAGTTGTGATGATAGGATAATGTGTAGCCATTTTTGAACGAGCAGCATTATTAAATCGTTTTGCTGTGTGATGTCCACGAGTAAATGGTGTCGTAGATGATGATGAAAACATAATTTTACATAGATGAATGCTTATCTAGAAAGAAAAAAAAAGAGGAGAAAATTCAATGATATAAATTTTTAATATTTTTGACAAATATCATAAAGTTTTTTAATTAATTCTCTATCTTTCATAAAATGATCATCTTCTATTCTACAATTACGAAAATATTTTCCTGTTATATTTGCAACATCCTTCGATATAGCTAAATAAACAGGTGTTTGTGCACTTTGTTCAGGTGTTTCATGACCACCAAAACCCATTGAATTACTTAATTTTGTATTTGAATCACCTGGATGACAAACATTAACTGTTATACCATCATGAAAAAATTTTTCAGCATATGCTAATGTTAACATTCTATTGGCTTGTTTAGCTTGTCGATAAGCATCATCAGTTGTATATCGTCGTTTTTTAAATTCAAGATCATTTATATCAAGACCACCAGCCCAATAACTTGCAACATTAACAATACGTGCATTAGGTGAACATTTTTTAAGATTATTTTCAAATGCATTTATCATCCAAACATAACCTAATACATTGGTTGCAAATTGTACTTCAATACCATCTTTAGTTATTTCACGTTTTTGTGGTCCTGTTGCATGATTATTAATTAATACATCAATTGGTTGATCTTTTAGTTGAGATGCAAAATTTTCAATTGATTCTTTTAATGAAAAATCTACAACATAACCTTGAATTGAATTATTATTTGTTATGGATTTAATTTCATCAACAGTTGAATATAATTCTTTTTCATTTCGTCCAGCTAATATAATTTGATTATTAAGATCTTTTGCTAAAATTTTACATATAGCTTTTCCAATACCACCATAAGCACCCGTAACAATAATTGTCTTGTTCACCATATATGATAGAACAAAATGAATATAGTAATAATAATAGGAGAGATTCAATACTCAATCAATGAAAGATAGATGTCAGTTTAAAAAAATTTTTATTGGTTTAAAAAAGAAACATATTATTTGTTTATTTATACTGTCCTTGTATTGAGAAAAAGTTTTTTTTTTGACTTAATTGATTATTCGTCAATCAGACTCACAAACGAATTATTATCAAACAAGTTTATCATGAAATTTAAACATACATCTTTAATATTAATATGTATTATGATGAAAAGATTTCGATATCGATTTGATCATATTATCTATCGATAGTTGTGAAAAAACAAACAGTGAGAAAATAAGAAAAGAAAAGAAAATAGTTTTCTTGTCTTAAATAAATTTTTTATTGTCAAATTCCTTTGGTCTATTTTTTTTGTTTCGTTTTTCTGTCTTCCTCATATGTAAGTTAAAATGAAGAGTAATGGTAATTCTACAACATTTACTGTTCATGACCGTCTTGGAGCAGCTATTGCACCAAATACAAATTCAAATGTATCAATAAATCCAACACCAACACCACCACCACAACCACAACCAACAACAACAACTTGTTCAATTAATTTATCAACATCAAATTGTCAACAAATGATAGCAACAAATACAAATTTAATGCCAGCTGGAAGTTTATCATCAGCAACAGCAGCTTCATGTACAGTAGCAACATCAACAGGAACAAATCAACATCAAGATTTAGTTAATTTATTTGAATGTCCAGTATGTTTTGATTATGCATTACCACCTATACTTCAATGTCAATCAGGACATATTGTTTGTTCACAATGTCGACAAAAACTTTCATCATGTCCAACATGTCGTGGTCCATTAGGCAATATAAGAAATTTGGGTATGGAAAAAGTTGCTGATACTATTTTATTTCCTTGTAAATATCAAACAAATGGATGTTTATTGAGTTTAACTCATAAACATAAATTAGAACACGAAGATTGTTGTGATTTTCGTCCGGTAAATACTTTATTTATTATTATTATTCATAGGTTTTTGATTAATTTAATTTCTTTTTTTTTTCAAAGTATATGTGTCCATGTCCAGGTGCATCATGTAAATGGCAAGGTAGTCTTGAAAATGTTATGCAACATCTTTGGCTTGCACATAAATCAATCACAACTTTACAAGGAGAAGATATTGTTTTTTTAGCTACCGATATTACTTTACCTGGAGCTGTTGATTGGGTAAATTAAATAATAAGATTTAATCTTTTCTGTTTTTTTTCTTTTTTATGAATAAATTTTGAAAATTAAGAATCATGACTAGAGATGTGCGAGACCAAGACTTAAATAAAAAATTATTTTAGATTTGGTCTAAATGAATTTGCAAATAGTTTTCGCTAGACCTGAGCCAAAAAAAAAATACTTGATTTCACACATCTCAATCATGAACCTTCAAATATACAAAAAAAAGGGTAATTTTTCAGAATACCATGAATTTTTTTAATTAGGCATCAAACTCAGTCAAGAAAGTTAATTTGATGATTCTTCACATGTAGTACTATTAGAAGAAAGGAACCGACGAATATTGATAAACTCCATGACGTAAAGAAAAATCAAAGAGAAACCACAGTACGAGAAGTTAGTGCAGAAAGAAGTGTAATTTGGATAATTGAAGAAAGGCGTTCTCAGGTAGTCGAACACGCATGTACGTACTTTGGAGCCCAACCAAACGGTACTTGGAAACTCTCGATGAAGTTTTCTAATCGAAACAGACTAGTTCTCTCAAAGATACGAAATACTTTTTTTTTTCTATCTTTTAAGTTCAGTCATTATCCTATCCTACACACTTCTCATATGACTAGAGTCCACTGAGTCCGAAACCAACACGACAAGCTCTAATGTATTGTCAGTTTTATTTTGTGAAACAAGAAATACGCAAAACTATAAACGATTTTCACATAACAGTAAGACTTTAAGACGAATTAATAAATTTATACAAATTAAAACCATTTGATGTATGGCAAACATCACTTTAGATTTGCTAACAAACTTCTGTTTTACCTTGCAGACTTTTTCAGAAATAATCTTTTCGCGTTCCGATCAGAAAAGTATTACAATCGTTTTTTTTATATCTCGACTTAATGAGTGTTTTTCCATAATTTTTATTTCATGAATGAAATATTCTCAGTCTTTACAACATTGAACAAAAGATAGCCCAAGCCTTCCGAAATTAAAGAAAAACTTAATTTACAAACTTCTATTATATTGCTACCTACTAGATTGATGATTTGTTTCATTTGTTGATCAGCTGTCGTTTATCTTCATTGATGATTATCAAAAAGCTTTTCACATCAGTTAGCAATAAAATCACTCTAAACGTGATTATTTAGATCTAGAAAAAAAAATAACATTGCAATCAAGATCTTAAAAACTAATCTTCGACTTTGTGTATCTTATGCATAGATCATATCATTTCCTTTATGCCCTTTCAATGTATCTCTTAATCTTATTTCTTATCTTTCATCTCTTATTATTATTTCATACTTAACATATTCCATAGTCGAAATTAATTAAGATCCGCAAGATTTTTCATTCCTTATGAATAATAGGAATCAACATCTTTATTGATATAAATAAAGGTTACAAATAATTTGTTCGTTTTATTTAGGTTATGATGCAATCATGTTTTGGACATCATTTTATGCTTGTATTAGAAAAACAAGATCAACAATTTTTTGCTATTGTACAATTAATTGGTACACGACAACAAGCAGAAAAATTTGTTTATCGTTTAGAATTAAATGGTAATAAACGACGATTAACATGGGAAAGTACACCAAAATCTATTCATGAAGGTATACAACAAGCAATTCTTATTAGTGATTGTCTTGTATTTGATGGAGCAACGGCATTATTATTTAGTGAAAATGGCAATTTAGCTATTAATGTAACTGTGTCTCTCGGTTAATTTGCTCTTCGTTATAAATATGATTGTATCTACATGCATTTTTTTTGTCGTTGTTCGAATTTTACTATGCTTCTTCGTTCTTTTCTTTGTTTTTTCTTTGTTTTTTGTTTTCTAACCAAGAATACTTTTTTTTTCTTTTGGTTGATAAATATTATTTTTTGTTTATTTCATACATCAACATATAAGATGCAAAGGATATTTATTCTGTTTTTATTTTCTTAATCGTTGGTAGATGATTAAGTTCTTTTCTTTCCTGCTATGTGAATTCATATTTCAAGGATTGGATATGTTGATAAGTGGCAATAGATTCAATTTATTTCAGTTAGTTATTAATTTCAACCTATAATAATCTTATCTTCATATATGTGACATTGATGTATTATCAAGTAAAATGATGTTATAAAGGACCAGCTTTCATCATTCAAGACAAGATATTGATAGACATGGAAGTACTTCGATTGAAACTCGATATGTCCTTAATAGTAGTGTTCGAATTTGTTCCCTTTACGTTTGTTTTTAAATAACTATAATTAATATTCAATTATTGGCTTAAGGGTATGTTCCCCTTTTTTTGCAATTTCTGGAGAATGGTTTATCAAAAAATTTTAAAATTTTCAGAACAGAACTAAAAAATTTTTCAAAAAATACATGAGAAACTGTTTGGAATATGTTTCTTTTTATTTTTTGTCCTTCGAGTATAAAAACTAAAGTATCGAAGGTACCATCAAAAAAAGGACATGTTTTTCTTTAAAATAAACTTGTTTTTGTAAGAGCTACCAAAAATCAGTAAAACAATAAAAAAGTACACATCAAAAGTAGAGTATAGTATAGGTGAAAAAAGTTTCATCTCAATTAAATCTATTAAACTGGAATATTTCTGAAGTTTGTTTTCATGAAAAAGTTGGTTTGACAAAAACACAAAATAATCTGCAGTTTTCACTAATTTGATAGATAGATATTACTTCAGACTATACAATTGTCATAAAAAAAATTAAAAAAATGGAAAAAATAATCTTAATTTTTCTATCAATATATAGTAAGTACATACGGGTGTATAGAAGACATATCAACCTACCCTTTAGTACTTGATCTTCATCTTTTACATGCTATGAACTTGTTATCAGGCATAGAAAAGATGTGAAAATAAAACATACTGATAAGTAATCATATTTTTTTCAGTGAAATAAATAACAAATGATCACTTAGTTAAATTCAATAAATAACTCTCTATTAATTTTATAAGTTAGACTTGATTATTGAAAAAAAACAAATACAAATTGTTGTCTATCTATTAAATATGAAACTCAAATGTTCCTTCTTTATTGTAAAAACTTGATTTCAGTGATTAACTATCGCAAACAAAACTACAAGGTGTTGCAGAAATTCAAACGAAAATAAAAAAAAACAAATGTAAATATCTTCTCAGCAACTAAAGACATTTAGACATTATTTTTTACAGTTTGATCATATATTCATTAAAGTTTTATTCAATATATTTCAGATAAAGTGTCCGGGTCTACAGAAATCAAAATTAATATAGTTTTATTCGTAGGCAAATCTGAATCAGCTATCATTGTAAAACGAAACCTATGAAAATTCATGCAGTTTTACAATCTCTATGAAAAAAAGAAGCTGTCACAGTAGTAGTAGTGTAATCATAGATATCTCTGTAACACTAACTCATATAATTTGACTATGAGTAAAACTATTTTAATTTTGATCTTTTTTTAGGTGCACGCATTTTATCTGATATATATTGAATAAAACTTTAATAAATACGTGATTAAAGTATATAAAACATATTTAAATCGGTTGAATTGATGGGAAACTATTTAAGTTTTTCTTATGCATACGAACTTGTCGAACACTTTGTAATATAATAAATTTTATGCGTCATTTTTCTTTAAGATCTAATGATGAAAAAAGTCTTTTGTCGATGTTCATGTTTTTTTAACGATAATATTTATTTAAAACAAGTTGGTGCTCATGTACATTATATAAATGATGAACAATTTCGAGAAGATTATAAACATGTAAGTAATATATATTTTTAATTTTTATTATGACTAATTGAAATTCTTCTAGCTTATATCACCTGATAATAGTATTGAACAATTATTAAGTTTGGTATATCAAGAAATTGATCGTCGACAAAATCTTGATACTGAAGCACGTAAACGTAAAGATCAAATTAATAGAGAATATCAACCATTATATCCTGAACTTTACAAATTTCAAGTAGAGATATTTTTAAAATTGAATTTTATTTCTTATTTTAAGATTTTTTTTTTTTCTAGCCAAAATTTTTATCTGAAAAATTTAAAGAATTATGTTCACAATCAAAATCTTCGTATGAATATCTTCTAAAATTGGGTAGTAAGTAAATTGAATTAATACATTATGTATTTTGATTTGACTTATTTATTTAATTATAGATGGTATTTATTCAATGCCTGTATTTACAACAGAATTTTGTACACAATTTCTTGCAGAATTAAAACATTTTGAAGCATCATCAATGCCAAAAGGAAGACCAAATACTATGAATAATTATGGGGTATAATATTTTAAACAATATTATATATAAATATTCTATCAATCTGTTATTTTAGATTCTTTTAGATGAATTAGGATTTACAAGTTTTATTGATGAATTACGTAATCAATATTTAAATCCTCTTGTGCAAACATTATTCGGTGATGCATATGTAGGCAGTACAGGACTTGATTCTCATAGAGCATTTGTTGTTTCATATAAAATTGATCAAGATGTTGATCTTGGTTATCATTATGATAACTCAGAAATTACACTTAATGTATCACTTGGTAAATTAATGAATTTCTAATTTGATAAAATAAACTTTCATTTATTAAATTTATTTTAAAGGAGATCAATTCGAAGGTGGTGATCTATATTTTGGTACTATGGCTAAACCTCATCGTACTGCATTTTCAAATTTTACATGTAAGAAAAAAGTAAAGATACATTAAGCTTTTTTAAGAAAATCCGTAAAAAATGATTATAGTTTTTAAAATGTTGTTCTGTTCTTTTGTTTTTAGTTGTCGAACACAAGCCTACTATTGGAGTTCTACATCGTGGTCAACATCTTCATGGTACTGAGTCAATAAAATCTGGTGAAAGATATAATCTTATTATATGGATGCGTTCTTCTTCAATACGTAATCAATTTTGTCCTATGTGTTGGAAAAAGCCTGAATGTCTGATACCTGTTGATTCAGATAACTATGGTGATGGAATGATAAAATCAATAGAAAGCAACTAGTATGAAATTGATCTTACTAAATTGAACATACCCATATGTTAAGCAAAAAAAAGAGGAAGAAAGAAAATGGATCCTCTAATGTTGCTTTTGACAAATGGTATATTGATTCAATGTGACATATTGTCAAGATTAATTTTCTTCTTCTCCTTTTTTTTCTTCTTGTCTTGATCAAGTCAACGACATGACATTCCGTTTTTTTTCTTTTTTTTTTATCGATATACATTTAACTTGAGATGCGTTTGATGTATATATGTGAAGAAATTTTATCGATAATGATATTGAAATTGAGCTTGCTGTGTCATTGAAATCTGAGATGGCATCATTTTCAATTGACGCAATCATACTAGCGTATGTAATCGATCTCTTTCCGCTTGCATGTCTGCCAGAAAAAAAAAGAAATATCTTTCTGATTACCCTTAACACCTCACTTTACTCTATATCACACAATCTTTCTATGATACATACTTAGAGATAATTACTAAGAATGAAATTAAACAATAACCAGACATAGTCATAAGCTTTCATCTTGTTTCGTTCTTTCTTTCTTTTTTTTTTTCTTTGTTTACTAAAATTGATTTTCTTTATGGGCTATTAAACGAAATACATACACAACAGACAGACAAAAAAAAAGAAAAATGTTATTGTTTACAATATAAAACGAGTGTGAAACGATTGTACGTGATGGGATGTTTATTCATTAAATAAACATCTAACAAGAACACCAAAAAAAAGAAGAAGAAAAAGGAAAAGAGAATAGAATATCTCATGTAATTACTTCGTTTGTTTTTTGATCTTTATAACCTATCAAGACAATGACTATTAATGAGCATTTCACGAGTTAAACGCCAACATTGTTTAGCAGCATTATCAAGTGATTGTATTGATTTGCCTTTAAATAAATCAACATTTGGTAAAAAATAATGTGGACATTTTCGACATTGTAAACATGATATTAATTGTAATAATATACCATTAAGACGATCACCTAATGTTATATCATCACACCATTCATGTTCATTTGGATGTTTTTCACATTCATATAAAACTAAAGATTTTAATACATAATTTGTTATTGATGTTGAATCAAAATTACGATCACGTAATGTTTTTAATATTGAAAGACATTTACGTCTTGTACCATCTTGTAAAAGACGATCTTCAGCTTCAGTAAATGACATAATCCATGCATCACCTTCAGAATTTGCTTGTTTATCTTTCATATAAATTGATTCTTTTGATAATATATTAAAACCTTCATTTTTAACATCATTTATTTGATTTGGATTTGGCCAAATAGAAAATTGTGTTGGAGAAAATGGCCAATGTGCAGCTGAACGTGGCCATAAACCAGCACAACGAAATGCTGGTACAATATGTACAATATATTTTTCACGTATACGAATACGTACTTCAGATGTATCAGTTAATAATTTAACATAATCACGACAAGCACATTTTTCACATGCTTGAGCAACAAGTGCTTGAAAACGTGAACGAATTTTACGTGCTGATAAATAACCACTAGCTGTTATAAATTCAACCCAAAGTGACATTGAACGTTTACGACCATCAGATAATTTAAGTACAGCACAACCTGGTATTGTACCATCATCAACAAAATTAAATACACCCATTTGATTTAAATAAAGAACAACCTAAATATACCGAAAAATGTTGTTTGTCTAAGAATATCAATCATTTATTATTTTAATAATG